TTGATGAATGGCTCGGTTGGCAATTGGCTTGATCCCCTGAGTCAGAATCATATTCATGTTGCAATGCTCAATGAAGCGTTAAGCCAAGTAAGTGCCGGTGCTTCCTTGGGCTCAGGCAATGGCAGTGGAGGTAGTAATGCTACGAACATTACTACCCTACTAATGCTGATGGAGGGGCTCCGACCCTCGAACTCATGCTTTGGACTAGGGAATTCCACCACCCATCAAGTATTGTGCCCCCAATCTAGGGTACCCTCCTCAATGGACGTCCTGCCAAAGCCCAGACCATAGGGATAGGCAGATAGAGCCAGGGTTTGAGTTTTCCTCTCCTTTGGGCAAATATTATTTCAACCTTGCCAATCAGACTAATCAAAGGACAGGTAAGAAAGTACTTGGCCCTGGCTTCAATGGGTACTATCTAATGAATGGGGAGCCTTCACATCCCTAGAACCCTTTGCTGTTCTTCAAAATTTGTCTGTTCGGTTCCTTAACATCTTTGCTACTAGAGACCCGAGGGGTGTTCTTAAGAATGTTACTATAAATAAAATCATGAACAGTTTTACTGTTCCTGCCAGTCCAGTGTGCTTAAAAGCACCATTGTGTTTTTTTTGCTGGCTAATGTCACCAATGCCACAGGAGATGGGGTCTCTTGTAATACATCTGAGGCAACCTGCATGGCAAGTCAGTGCTGGAATGGTACTTATAATACAGCTGTGGTAATGAGCGTTCCCACATATGTTCCTATCCCGGTCAAAGTAGATACTGGGACTTTCCCAATCTCTGGAACCTTTCAAAATAAAGCCACCAGCTGGGGACGAAGCATTCAGAGCATGAAAGAGCCTGTAGGAGACATTTCAGGTTCAAACTGTGGCAGAGGGAAAGCAAAGGGTCACATTAGGCAAGACCCTGGAGGCCTCATGTGGAATGGGAAATGCAGGGGAGAAGAGCTGTCTTCACTGAGAACACCTGTGGAAGGTTCTGTTAAGGTGATTCCCCCTGCCCTATCCACCACTTTGAGACTGCAGGGAGCTGACCTCTGATGGGATCCTCCATCCCCACGGTCCCCTTTTCCACCCTATGAAGCCGCAGGGCCCTGCAACTCTTGGACAGAGTTTCTAATCTGGCAGAACAATCCTTCAGTTGTTCTGATTGAAGAACAGCGGTGCCTCTGCAGATGCTGTCTGCCTTTAGGTTTCCTGTCGCCTCCATCAGCCCCATATGACAGTACATAGAGAAGGACTTTGGCCTGAGCCCTCCAGGGCTCCTGAAAATACTGCAGGTCACCCGCCACAGTTGTTTCAACTAGAGGTGAGAAATACGGGGTACATGTCCTCCCTAGCTTGCCAGTCAATTGTTAATGACTATTTCCAAGGGGAATGAGAGATTCCAGGCACTCCTGCCCTTCGGAAGCCAAGCCATGTGGACTCCAGTAGGTATTAATGGCTGCAGCCACTTCTCAGTGTCACAGACACATTGAGAAGTCACCAAAAAAGTCTCAGATGAAGTATGTTTCCTTCTGTTTTTCTTTCTAAAGGAAGATATGGATATAAAGTCTCCTACCCAAAAAAAGCTCATGAAATGAAGCCTGGTGTTGCAATCCAGGGAGGTTCTAGAAACCTTAAGAGGAGGGGATTGGCTGGAGGAAGTAAGTTATGTCACAGTGGGAGAACCAGTTGGGGAGTTGGAGGTGGGGACATGTCTATTTATCTTGTCCCAGGTCTCTTTCCTCTCTTCCATCTCTAAAACCTAACACAGGGACAGAGAGAGAGAAAGGTAGATAGATGATAGACAGACACACAGATACACACATAGACAGACAGAGTATACATAGATAATCGATAACAGATACATAGATGATGGATAGTTGTCTTTGAGTTATATTAAGGTTGTTAACAGGCACTGTAAGGTTCTAAAGGGAGGCTTCAGTTCTACCAGGCCAAGCAGGGCATCTGTTCTCAGAGGTTTCGGAGGGAGGGGACAAACCATACAGTGTGAGCCAGCAGACTTAATAAGTTAATAAGTAGTCTGTACTAAGTGCCTGCTGTCAGCTTGCTTGTGCCTACTGGGTGGCGCCAAGGAGAGAAAGATAGAGTGCTCGTGTGCTCATGTAGCTGTGTGTGTGTGTACATGTGTGTGTATGCACATGTGTGTGCTCATGCATGTTTGTGTGTGTGTGTCTCTTTTTTTTTTCAAGACAAGGTTTCTCTCTGTAGCTTTGGAGCCTGTCCTGGAACTTACTTTGTAGACCAGGCTAGCCTCCTCCCAAGTACTGGGATAAAAAGCATGCACCACTACCTCTGTGTGAACTACCTAGTTCACACACACACACACACACACACACACACACACACACACACACACACATACTGGGGTACCTTCTAAGATGGAAGGGAAATTCTGCTTTGTCCACAAAGGGCAAGGGGCTAACTGTGACAAAATTCCTGATAGAACAACTTAAAGGAGGAGAGATTGATTTTTGATTGGCTGCAAAGTTTTTGGATTCTGAGGCTGGAGTGAAGGAAAGGAAGCATTGTGGCAGACTCTGACGTCATGTTAGGTGGGGATATTGGGAGGGGAGAGAGCGTGATGAGAAGAGGAGGAAGGGGGGGAGAGCGATAGACTGCTGATTTGTAGATCAGACTACACATCTTCACTCCTCTTTCAGTGCAGCTACAAAGACCTCACGGGCTGCCTGCTGTGCCCCACCCTGTGCCCACCCCCACCTGAAACCTGCAGCAACTGAAGGCCTTGCCTTTGCTTACATGAATGCAGAGTGCTGCAGACACTTTGGAAATAGTCTAGGAGTTCCTAAACCGTTAGCATAGTGTCAGACACGGTCCCCACTTCTAGATATATATCCAAGAAAAAGGAAAACATCCTGGAAAAAAATGAAAACTTGCACATGGCTATATACAGTAACATTAATCAAAGCAGCAAACATTTTAGGAATGCCGAAGTGTTCCTCCCTAGCTAACGGCTGAATGAAATGAAATGTACTATAGCAGTGCGGCACGCTGGGAAATAAGCAGGTTGAAGACTGTGGCCCCTCCTATGGCCTCCCATGTGTGAGATGCCCAAGTTTATAGAGAGAGTGGGTTCTTGGTATGTACAACTGGAGGGTAAGGGGATTGGAAGAAATAGAGAATAGAGTATAAATGGGGATCTTGAGAGATGGACCAGTCAGTGAAATCCTTGTTGTGCAAGCACCCATGTGAAAAACTAGGTGCGGTGGTACTCTACTGTAACCCCAGTGTTGTGGGTGGGTGTAACATGATGATAAAAACCCAGAGACAGATATTGGCCTTCAAGCTGAAGATCAGAGAAGCAAAGCAGCCAACCACTAGTTCTTACCTCTACTTTAGACCAAGATGGGTGATCCTGTCTCCCCGGATCTTCATGTTGTCTCTAAAAAACCTCAGACTGAATGCTCTCCACCCAACCTCAGACTACAATCCTCTCAGTTCCTGTCTCCTCCTGCCTTACATTGCTCTCTCTGCCCAGACATATCACTCCTGTCCCCACTTCCCTAGTGCTGGGGTTAAAGGCGTGTCATCCCAGGTGTTGAGATCCCCTTTGTGTGGACTCTTTCTCTTTTAGACTGCATCAATTTCATGTAACTCAGTGTGGCCTTGAACTAACGGAGATCTGTCTCCCAAATACTGAGATTAAAGGTGTGCACCACCACTGCCTGGCCTCTATGCCTGTGGTTATCTTTGCATTTTGATCTGCAGTTGCTTTATTAGAGCATAAGCAATATATCACCACAGATGGGCACAGACGTGTGAACCTCAGGAGTTTGATGGCACACAGCCTAGCTAATCTGCTGATCTCCAGGCACCACAAGAGAGTCACTTCCATCTCTAAAATAAGATTAACATGGCCAAAAAAATGTCTGAGCAAATAATAGGCATGCCTACTAAGACTGATGACCTGAGTTTGATCCCTAGAACCCAAAAGGTAGGAGGAGAGAGTAGACTCTCATAACTTGTCCCTTGACTTTCACATGGCACATACAAAAAAAACTCAAAATTTAATTTTAAGTTAAAATTTTTGTTTAAGTTAGGCACATGCCTTTAATTCCAGCACCCAAGAGGCAGAGGCAGGCAGATCTCTATGAGTTCATGGTCAGCCTGGTCTTCATAGAAGTTCCAGGACAGCAGAAGGTACATAACAGAAATATCCTGTCTCAAGAACAATAACAACAAATTTTTCTTTGTGAAGTCAGATTGACATAGATACCCAGTTTTTTTGTTTTGTTTGGATTTGGGTTTTTGTAGGGGAAGGGTGTTGAAGAAAGGGTTTATCTGTGTAACATCCCTGGCTGTCCTGGAACTCATTCTGTACAGCAGGCTGGCCTTGAACTCACAGAGATCATCTGCCTTTGGCTCCTGAATATTGGGACAAAAAGCATGCACTACCATGTGGGGCTAGATACCCTTTTAACCATTGGTTCACACACTCATACATGTGCACGTACTTACACACACAGATGTGCACACACAAAACAAATGAACATATACATAGAAAAAGAACTGAGAGACAACTGCTAACAGAATTCTCTTTCTTTTAAAAATATTTGTCCTTATTTTTATTTATCTTTACATGAATGCATGTGTCTAAATGAGTATATATATATATATATATATATATATATATATATATATATATATATATATGTCTGAGGAGGCCAGAAAAGTCTGGAATATCAGGTAGCTGTGGGCATTTGATAGTAGGAATGAAACCCGGGTCCTCTGGAAGGGCAGCAAGCGCTCTTAGTCACCGGGCCATCTCTCCATCCTGGTTTCCCTTTTAAGTGATGAACACTTTCCTAAAATTAATTGTTGATGGTTTCCTGGTTCCAAACATATTGAAACTATTGGGATGTGCACTGTGATGGGTAGACTATACAGTACATGAACTGTATCCCAACAAACATCTAGCATCCCAGTAAACACTTAGTTGTTCTGTGTATCTACTGGGCATCTATGAAGTGATGTTCTACATCTGCCAATCACCCCACACTGACCACTCACGTGCTTGAGGAACAGAACTTCCTGAAGAAGGCCTTTTTCATGGCGTTCTCCAGTTCCTTGTTCCTGAGACTGAAGATGATGGGGCTGAGGAAGGGGGTGAGGACTGTGTAGGTAGTGGCCATGAGAGTGTCACCTTCCTCAAAGTGGGGGCCCTTGGGCTTGAGGTAGATGACAGAGGCAAAGCCATAGTGCACAATCACCACTGTGAGGTGGGACGCACAGGTGGAGAAGGCCTTGTGCCGCCCCTCTGCCGATGGTATCTTCAAGATGGCTGCCACAATGAAGGCGTAGGAGAGCAGGATGAGGAGGAAGCATCCCAGGAGAGCCGTGATGCACACCATCCCTACGCCCAGAGCCACAGCTGGCACGTCACTTCCACAGGCCAGCTTCAACATAGGGGGCACGTGACATAAGAAATGTTGGATCTGATTGGGTCCACAGAAAGGGAGGTGGAAAATGGAGGTCGTCACTATCAGCCCAACAGCTGAGCCTCCAGCCCAGGACCCAGCCACCAAGAAGGCACAGCCCCGGGGGCTCATGAGCACATTGTAACGCAGTGGGTGACAGATTGCCACGTAGCGGTCATAGCCCATGACGGTGAGCAGCAAGGAGTGTGTGAAGCCAAACGTGAAGGAGAAGAACATCTGGCTGGCACAGGCCAGGAAGGCGATGGTGCGCAGGGTGGAGAGCAGGTCAGCCAGCATGCGTGGGATGAAGGACAGGGTGTAGAGGATCTCAGAGATGGAGAGGGCGCACAGGAAGAGGTACATGGGCGTGTGGAGACTGCGTTCACTCCAGATGGTGGCCATGATGAGCAGGTTGCCCAGCAGGGTGAAGAGGTACATGAGCAGGATCACCACAAAGAAGACCGGCATGAGCTGCCGTGGGAAGTTGGAGAAGCCGATGAAGACGAATTCAGACACTGAGGTGTAGTTTGGTCCTAGCATCTTGGTTGCACCTGATAGAGTGGGAATTAAACCAGATGTTTAGAGGCATGGCATCCCTGAGTGCTGTCTGGGCAGGCTTCCTAGAGAAGGTAACATATCTCTTCAAGGAATCAGTTAAAAGGATGGGTTGTTGCATGTACGTGTCTATACTTTCAGAACCTGGGAGGTAGAGGCAGGGTTAGGGTAGCCTAGGCTACATAGAAAGACCCTGTAAAATAAGATAAATAAATAATGTGTTGAGTTTTAAATAACATCACACATCTTAAGTGATCAGTGCAGATCCTGGCACACTGAGAATTTAATAAACAATTAATATGGATGGTAATTATTGTACTACTATTACTGGTATTACTATTATCAGTCTCATACCCCTCTACCCACCCCCCATGATTTTCTGCCTTCACTCATATCAGGCTCTCCATTCTTTCCCCCATTTTCACACATTCAACTCCTCCAAGGACTAAGGGCCAGCTCCTTCCTAAGGGGAAGTCATCCCTTCACTGAGACATGGAAAGGGGTTGCAGGCTCTGCTTAGCTGTGTGACACAGGGCTGTCTGCTCCCATCTCTGAGACTCATAGCAATGGGCAATGGTCTCTGTGAAACCATGTTGTGGGCTGTGTAACTGAGGTGATGAGCACTAAGAACTGAGCTGTGGTGTGGTGTGACACTTATGAGCTGCCCCCAGTGACAGCAGCACCATAGAGCTGCACCCTGACACTAGCTGAGCCTCTGGCTTCCTGCCAATGCCATTCCCTCGTTGTCTGGAACTTCTGTTTTGTTGTGTTCTGGGGACAGAGCCACACCATGTAGACCTGAAATTTGGCATCTAGCCCTAGCAGACCTGGAACTCCTGACCACTCTCACATATGTCCATCACCACCCTGGCAGCCACGCTAGTCTCTGCTTCTCCTCCCTCTCCCTGATCCCTACCAGGATCCTCCCATCACCAACCTGCTTGGTGCAGAACAGAAAGGTGCTAGCAGCTGAGGTTCTGTCTTCTCTGTCACTGAGGGGCAGCAGGTCACACCTGCCCCAGTTTCAGGGGGTGGGACTCTCCTCCTCTGTGACCTAACAGGATCCTTACTGTCTGCAGTGGTGCTTCCCCTGCTGGTTCTCCATGCTGTGGACAGCCCTGATGCAAAAATTAGTTATTCTAAATTGCAAAATGAAGCAGGAGGAGAATGGGTTAAAAAGGTGTCCCATCTGAGGGAAAATATCTTTACCAACTCCACATCTGACAGAGGACTGATCTCCAAAACATAAAAGGACTCAAGAACCTAGACATCAAAAGACCAAATAACCCAATAAAAATGGGGTACAGAACTAAACAGAGAATTCCAACAGAACAATCTCAAATGTCCAAAAGACACTTAAGGAAATGCTCAGTATCCTTAGTCATCAGAGAAATGCAAATCAAAACAACTCTGAGATACCATCTTGCTCCTGTCAGAATGGCCAAGATCAAAAACTCTGATGACTGCTTATGCTGGAGAGGATGTGGAGTAAGGGGAACACTCCTCCACTGCTGGTAGGAGTGCCAAACTTATACAGCCACTTTGGAAATCATTATGGCGGTTTCTCCGAAAACTGGGAATCTATCTACCTCAAGACCCAGCAATACCATTTTTGGGCATATACCCAAAAGATTCATTCCGCACATTCATACCGCAAGGACATCTGTTCAACTGTGTCCATAGCAGCATTATTTGTAATAGCCAGAACCTTGAAACAACTTAGATGCCCCTCAACTGAAGAGTAGATAGAGAAAATGTGGTACAGTTATACAATGGAGTACTACTCAGTGGTAAAAAAAAAAATGACATCTTGAATTTTGCAGGCAAATGGACAGAACTAGAAAACAGCCATCCTGAGTGAGGTAACACAGACCCAGAAAACCCAGACCCAAAGACAAATATAATATGTGCTCACTCATAAGTGGATATTAGACGTAAAGCAAAGGACAGCCAGACTATAGGCTACAAACCCAGAGACTCTAGGTAACAAAGAGGCCCCTAGAAGAGACATACATGGATCCACCTAGGAAGGGGAAAAGACAAGATCTCCTGAGTAAAGTGGGAGCCTGGAGGCAAAGGGAAGGATGGAGGGGGAGAGGGGAGGAGGGAAAGGGGGTGGGGGAAATGTATAGCGCAATGAAAAAGGTGACCCATCTGAACAATGTAGTTCAAATACAGCACAGATCCTGCAGCAACATGAGGACCCTAGAAAATGGGGTACTGAGTGAAAGAAGCCAGATAGGAGGAGCACATAGTGTGTGCGTCATTTGTTTGGAATGTTCTTACTAGGTAAGTACAGAGGCAGAGAAGGCCGATCAGTGTCAGGAAAAGGGGTAAGGCAGAACGGGGAGTGACTGCTAATTTAAATTCTAAAATTCCTGTTGTTTTATGGCTCTCTTTGTTTTGACTATGACATTTTCTGTTTGTTTTAATAAAAACGTCTTGGAAACAGTAAATGCTCTAGTTATATATCATTGTGAATGCTGATTAAAATGCTTAGTTATTCAGATCAGCTGTCTCTGCTGGTTTTGCTAGCCCATTCTTTGCCAATTTGCTCATCGCTCCTCTCTCTCTGTCCCTGGGTTCCATGGGTTCAGTTCAGTGTTTAACTGTGGGTGTTTGCCTCTGCTTCCATCAGTCACTGGTTGAAGGTTCTAGGATGGCATATAGGGTAGACGTCAAATTCATTATCAGGAATGGGCATTCAAGGTGGTCTCTCCACTATTGCTTAGCTTGCCAGTTGGTGTCATCCCTTTAGATCACTAGAAGTCTCACTGGTGCCAGATCTCTTAGACCCCAGACAGACAGCTGGGAGGCCAGCATGGGACAGATCCAGACCCCCTGAGTGTGAGAGTCAGTGAGGAGGCCTGGGCAACCTATGGGGTCCTGGGAAGTATATCAGTGTTTATCCTTGGCATACAAACGGACTTCGTGTGTCCATAACACAAAGAGGGATGCTCTCTCAGCCTGGACTCTGAGGGGAGTGCCTGGACCCTGCCCTGAGAGAAGTGACAGACTCTGGATATCCCCTATGTGGAAGGAAGTGGGGATGGAGGGATGGGGGGGGAAGGGGAGGAGGGGAGGGACAGGGAACTGGGATTGACAAGTGAAGCAAGCTATCTAAAATTAAAGTAATAAAAAAAGTTTAAAAATGCTGTTATTTAATTAATATCAGATGCTTCATTCTACACTAAGAGAATGACTTAAAGAATACAGAATCAAAAGAATTAGAATGCATGGTCCAACGCAATCAAGCTGGGAAGTCTGACGTTAAGTGAAAGGACACAGAAATAAGGCCATGTGAGTTCTGGCTCTGTCCCTAGGAAGTGTCCTTCACAGGCAGTCCCCAGCAGTCCCCAGAAGGACAGGAAGGGGAAGTGATTGCCGGTACCTCAGGGGTGATGCAAACGGTTCAAAACCAGATGCAGATGATGGTTGCCCAGCACAGTGAGTACGGGATATACCTTGGGGGCTGTCGTATTTAGAAAGGTGAAGTGTACATTACGTGGCTTTTACCTCACTTTTTAAAAATGCACAGTGGGAATCTTATACTTGAAATCTCAGTACTGGGCACCGAGGGTGGAAATAGGAGAACAGGAACTTCAAGCCCTTACTGGATTACATAGTGAGAGTCTGGAGAGGTGAGGCGTGGAGGGGGTGTTGGTGGGGAGCTTTTGAGAAGAGAAATGGGAATCGGGGAGATAAGACAAGAGAGCTAGAAGTTAAAAAAAATGAACGAGAGAATAGAGAGATACAGAATCAAAGACATGGAGGCAAAAGCAGGAGAGAGACAGGGTAAGAGAGATGGAGAGAGAATGAAGGGGCAGGGGATTAGACAGAGACAGAGGAGAGAAAAAGAGGGCAGCCCACCACCAGCCTTGGTGGGTGGTCGCGGCGGGAGGACTCTCCCGGAAGCACTTTTCTGAGTTGTGCAGCCTTGGCAGCGGAGCACTTCCCGCCCCCCACACACACACCTGCACCCACTTCCCACAAACTGCACTGGAGACTGTTAGTGAACTGAGTGCGCCCACAGGGCTCGCATGCGCACGTGGGCTACTTTCAAACCCTAGGTCTCACACAAACAGCAAGATCTTGCGCGCCGAGACACACGCAGGCCCTGTACACACTTGGCACTGCACATAGGCACGCACACTCTGGCGTAACACAGCTTAAAGCTCTCTACTGCAACTGTCACGTTACCACCCGTGACGGGAAGCCCAAGGTTGTCCGGGATGCTGGATCCTGGAATGAGGAGTCACACCTGTGGGTGGATCTCCTTGCTGCTGGGTCCAAGGTTCACACCCAACAGTGCCCTTGCGCACCCTTCTCGCTTCGCTTAGGCTCTTGACGAAAGGCCTGGAAATCACTCACTGACCCCTGCTGGCGGCAGCAGGGGCAGCTTTAAGGGGTGGCAGAGGAGATGCTGGTCCCCCTTGCACATGATAAATTTCCTAAGGGGGTGGGCAGGTTGAAGGCTGAGCCCTGTCTTTATCCTTGCACTCTCCAGAAACTCCTCACCAAACACTCTGGTGATCCCAGGGCAGGATGTGCTCTGGGCCTCCCTGGGTACTCAGGAGGCCACCATAGGCCTCTGGAGCCTTCTTGGTGCCAGACTTCCCTGGGATCAGATCTCAGCTGCACAAGCAGCCCTGGATACACCTCTAAAGACCCTTGGTGCCCAGGTCAGACCCCACAAAGAAGATATGTTACCTTGGGGACAGAGTGATGATGCTGCTGGGTCGTCTGGACCACACAAGAAACAGAAAAGGGAGGGGCTTGGAAAGGAAGCTGCTCCCCTTGCAGGAAGTAACCCTACATCCAGTCACATGCAAGGGGCCCAATTACCCTCAGTGGGTTATTTTAAAACAATAAAGGACTTGAACGTAGAAGAGGGTGTCTTTGGAAGGAAGAGTTCTGAGGGAGTTGTAATGGGACAGTAGAAATGAATGCGGGTAAACAGGACACATTACATGTGTGTGAAATTG